TCCCTCTCTTGCAGCGCTCGGGCTCAGTGAGATCTTCCCTGACTGTCCAGAAGAGCCTGATGCTGACTTCAGAGGGGGTGGCCAGCAAACGCAACTTCTTCGAGGCCAGCGCTCCCAGCAAGGCAGAGCCGCTCACTGCCAGGAAGGTGAGGGGAGACATCAGCTTTCTAGGGCAAATCTAGGGCATTTTGGATACAGATGAGTGGACATCAATGTGCAGTGTGACAGGCTGCTGTCTGGATGGGTTTGGTAGGAGGTCGGTGATGGCTGTGTGGGCAGAGCAGGGATTCAGCCACCGAAACTGCGTGCTGGCAGTGAGTGGGTTTGTATTTGGGGAGCTGGGGCAGAGCCAGTGCTGGTCCTCACCTTCTGTGGATTTGCTCAGTCTCCCTGTGCCCTGGGCACAGTCCTGGGCTGTTTGTGCAGTGAGAGAGCTGGAGCCGTAACCTTGCTGTCCATCTCTGTGCCACAGGATAACCTGAAGATCCCAGGATCGGTGACGTCGCGCATTAACCTGTGGATCAGCCGAACTCAGGAGCCTGCCAAGGAGGAAAGGAGCAAGGTAACAGCTTGTGCCATCGCCTCGGGGTGAACCCTGAGACCTGGCAGCCTGGTGGGACACATCCCTGCATCTAGAGGGGCAGATGGGGCTGGAAGGGCTTGTAGATCTTTGGTTGAACCCATTAAGGGCTCTGATACTTCACATGGGCTCTGTGGAGCTTGAGGACCTGCTGTGCACCAAGCTGTGCTTGGGGTCTGGAATGATTTACATCCTGTGTGCAGGATATTCCCCAAATGATGATGTCCCACAGCTGCGGGGACTCAGACTTGACTCCAGGGGCACTGATTTGGCGGAGATGGGAAGGAGACACTTTGGCTTCCGGGCAGCTTTCTGTGCTTGGAGAGATTCAGCAAGGACAGTTGGGCAGATGTCACCCTATACAGCAATAGGATTTGCTGCTGCCGCTCATGGCAGCCTCCTGGTACAGGACGAGGAGGGGCAGCCCCAGTCGGTCAGACATGCCTGGGCACCCCAGCACTGAGCTCTGGGATTAGCACTGCCCAGACACGACTGCATGGGAGGCTGCACCGCCTGGGTCTGCCTGGAAGGGTTTTGCTTCTGGGGTCACTCCTGGGTAAAACTTTCTTCCTTGGTTGTTTTATTTTTCCCTTATAATAACACTTCCCACCGTGCACTTCCTGGAGGTTTCAGTGGGGTGGAAATTCTTTACCCGGAGGCGTGACGCATGGGGAAGACCTTCCTGTGCCGCTCACAATTCTCCTGTTTGCAGGACATCAGGAAGATCAACAGCCTGCCAAGGCGTGACGGCTGGGTGAAGCAGCCCAGAGAAACCCCTGCAGACCCTGAGGTAGATGTGGGGCTGCGCTGAGAGCCGCCCTGGGCTGGGGCAGGGCTGGGATCTGCGTCACCAGCAGCCTCAGCCCCATTCCTCCATCGTTCCTTCGTTTGTTTGTTTTTTTTCCAGTTGTAACGATGCCATGCACAACATTATCAGATGATAAAAACTGTTCTGCTCTGAAGATCAAAGCCTGGCCCTGCCCTGCCGTCCAGCAGCCCATAGTGCCGATGAGTCCCCACTGCCACCTGCGGGTGGAACGGTGTGGCCCGGGGTTCTCCGCCTGTGGGCTGGAAAGGAAGAAGGCTGGAAGTCCGTCCCTGCATCCCCTCTTCTCGCTCGCTGCCTGGCCAGGATTACCCAGACCTGGAGGCTCCCTGCAGACTCTGAGCAGACCCTTGCCTTGCTTTCCTACAACGCTGTGGTGTCCTGCTCCCATTCCCTGGCTGTGCCCCATAACTGCGCTTGCTGAAGGGATCTGCCCATCCCTGCCCCTTGCAGGGATCGTGTCAGCAGTGAGGCTGCACATCCATAAACTGTGCCCAGCCCCATGTGTGGGGCGAGGTGGGGGGCAGGGAGATGTCACCCCTCTCCAGGGCTGGCCCAACCAAAGGCAAAGGCTGTAAAGTGTGTGTGCCACTATCGTAGCCTGGAGACCTCAAAGACCCCAAAGCCACCTGGTCCCCACTGCCTGCTGCGCCCACCTGGGGGGACACCAGTTGCCTATGACACGATGCCCAAATCTTTCTGCCACAGGCTGGAGCTGAGCCTTCAGCAATCACTGCGTTGTCCAAATTAGGTGTGGGCCCCTCCTGCTGCCCCCAGATCTGCTTTTGCTTGTTTGGCTTTGGATAGGACTTGATTTTCTCTAGGACTGGGTTGTTTTCTAATAAAAGTGGCTCCTTCTGAAATGTTCCTGCTCAGCTAGGACCTGAAGGACTTGTTTCCCATCGTCCTGCAAGAGGAAAAAAGCAAGAATTAAGACAGATATCTCAGGGTGGAGGATAAAAGCAGTCTGAGCTTTCGTATGGCAGCATCTGGGGCTGCAGCAGAGGGTCGGGTCCGAAGCACTGCCTTATCAGCGTCCCCAGCCCTGGGAGGTGACAGCTGGCTGGCTTGTGTCAGCCCCTCGGGCACTCACGTATCTCCATCCGACGGGTTTAAAATAGCAAATCTCTGAGGCCACACAATAGCTTGGGCTTATATGGGCTCCTGGGGGGGAAGGGGGAGCACAGAGGGGGCTGGGGCCACTGCTGCCGAAATAGCAGCTCACAAGTGTTGCATTCCTCTCTGGGCGCCGGGCAAATTCCTGCTGGCTCTGCCCGCCCTGGGGTGGGCGCTGGGGGGACCTTAAAGCCTCTGCCCCCCAAGGAGCCCTTCCCAGACGGCCGTCAGCACCCACCGCTCTGTGGGACCTGAGCACAGGTAAGGCTGGGGATGCTCAGCTCCAGGAGGTGTTGATCCCGCGGGGGTTTGGCTCGTGGTCGGCGTGGTGCAGCTGCTCTCGTTGGGATGCCTTCCTGCCGCGCAGGCATTGCCCTGGGCAAAGCATCAGAGCCCTCTCTGTGGGTTTGTCGGCAGCAGTGCCAGCATCGTTAGGAGCTGGGAAGGATTTGGGGTGCGCTTGGAGCCCTGGTGATGCTGGGAGAGATACGATGCCTGCAGGAGCACCAGCACAGCCTGCAGCGTGTGTCAGAGCTGGGGCACTCCTGGTTGTTTCAGAGTGAGCGTTCAAAGCCTGAACTGGAATATTTGTCCATCTCTGTGTCAGCTGCAGAGGATGGATAGATGTTTTTTAGAGCCGTGTTCTAGCATACTGTGGGCTTTTCTGGTGTGCCTCTTCAACAGTTCTGGTTTTGCTGTTTTTGCTCAGAAAATGCATGGTGGGATCTGGTGATGCAGGAGGTGAATGGGAGTGCATCTTGGCCAGGAAGTGATCTCTGCACTTGGGAGCCCAGGTGCCAGCAGCCATGCAAAGGGTTTGGCTGAATTCTGGGGGCAGCAGAGCTGTGCTGTGCCCCAAATATCAGCTCAGGAGGTCGAGGGGCTGATCCAGAAGGCAGGGGGAAATGGCAGCAGATGGGCAGTGAATCCGAGGCAGTCGGGGCTGTCTTCTGACTTCATTGGTCTCCAAAAAGCCCCTCCTGAGTCACCGCTCAGCAGGGAGATCTGACAGCTGCACGGCACACTGAGGCATCCCCACTGCCGTGCGCCTTCCCCGCGTCTGTGGGTCCCCATCCTGCGTTCAGCATCCTTACCAAGTGATCCCCACGCCTCTCCTCCCCATCCCGGGTAATAAATACCCGACAGATGCAGTCAGGAGCAGTTGTTCCTACAACGCCCAGTGGGAGTGAGGAGCTGCTCTGGGAACAGGTGGTTGGGCACAGGGGGGTTATTTCTAGGACTGCCTCACGCTGGGTGATATCACACAACTGGGAGGGAGATGGATGTGCAAGGAAGATGCTATGTGAGCCCTACTGCTACACCGGGCTGTGATTTATTGCCCCCTTTGGCTAAATTCAGCCTCAGGGCTGGGAGCAGGAGGGCAGTGCTCCTGCTGAGCTCACATTGCCCCTCTGCTCTTGGAGGGCCGGGCTGTCTCATGGAGCAGGGTTATGGAGTGGAGATAACAGAACATCCCTGCAAGTCATCACATCACAGCTGAGCTAAGAATAGTCAGGAAGAAACCAAGCTGAGCATTATCACTGGGTGATTTTCCCATGCCCTGAGCAAAAGCAGCACCCTGGGATGGCTCCAGCACAGAGAGCTGTGTGTCCTGGGCACAACTCCTGGCAGCAGCTATCAGCATGGCATGGGGCTGAGCCCAACCTCCTGCCTCTCGTCCACGGTGAGCTGTGATCCTGGGATGGAAGGGGACAGGGGAGCCTTATCTCCACTGAGATACCACTGCCACAGCCCAGCTGGGACAGCTCTCAGCTCCAAGTGCTCTGGGGAGAGGCAGCAGGACGGGCTGTGCTTGTCCTTATCTCAGCTCCTAACCCTCGCTTTTTCCATCTTGCCTTGCATTCTGGTAGATAACCAAACATGTCGGACTCTGAAGAGGTTGTTGAAGAATGTGAGCAGTAAGTGGCATGGTTTCTAACACTCTTTCTTTCTCCTTATTCCTGTGTTCCTGCAAGAGGGGGTGCTTGCTGCTGTGCTTGCTGCCCCAGCACGCAATGTGAGAGCACTTCAGGATCTCCCCACAACCACAGGCATCACTGCTGTGTCTGTGCTGAGACAAGCTGGGCATCAGCAGTGGGTCAGGCCTTGTACTTAGCATCCCCTTGGCACATCTGATGACAGACAGTGCACCTCCCTTCAGGTCAGGAAAGGACTTTGGGGCCATTGACAGGTTTTGGGTACTTGATCCTCTCAAACTGCGTAACGGTCCTGGGCTCTGACCGCTGTAGGAGTGCCATAAGAGCACTTCAGTTCCTGCTCAATTCAGGTCTTGGCTTGTCTCCACTGCCAGCTCCCAGCACAGCCAAGCAGTCACAGGGGCCTCCGTGAAAAGGGGTCCCTGGCCCTTGGGAAATGGGAGCTCCCCTTCAGCCCCACTGCAGCAGATCGCTGCCACTGGGCTTCTTTGTGTTGTACTTTGCAGGGAGCAGGAAGGTAAGGGGACACAGAGCATCCACAGCCACCCTGAGACCGATGCTAAGCAACAATGGGGTCACGGCAATAACCCACGTCTTCTTTCTCTTCCCTTTCTCCCCTGTGCGCTCACATGAAGAGGAGTATGTGGAGGAAGGTAGGTGATCCTCCTGCTGCTGGAAGGGCAGTGCTGTTGGTTCAGGGTTTTGCTTGAGTGGTGGTGGTGATTTCCTTGCCATGGGCAGAATGAGCAGAAAAGGCCAACAGGATCACATTCTAAATTCCTCCACCTCAACCATCAGAAGGACCAAAGCCACCCTGAATTTTCTCAGGATTTCTTTTCCCAGGGAGATCCCTTGGCCCACATTGAGAGGTGGCAATGCTGGATGTGGGTGCATGCAGAAGCGTGAGCACAATTCAGCAGGCGCTGGAGCTCCAGCTGACTGCACATTAACAATGCTCAGGCAGAAGCCTTGACTCCATCAGCGTGGTGCAGGACCAAACCCCGTGCTGCAGCAGTGGGGCTGTCTGAATGGGGTGGGCATGGGAACGGGGGTCTGCTGGGGCTCCTGCTGCTTCAGGGCTGCTGCACAGCAAAGCATCCTGAGAGCTAAAAGCAAAGGGTCGGAGTCCTCACCTTGTGCACACCAGAGCTCTGCCCCGCAGCTTTAGGGCACCTGACTAACCTCTGTGCTTCTTCCCTCCCCTCCTCCCCGGCTCAGAAGAGGAAGAATGGCTTGAGGAAGAAGACGGTAGTTACTGCACCTTTCTTTGTTTCGTCTGAACGTATTGTGGGTCGGTGTGTCCCGTGCCTTTCCCTGGTTGGGAAATGGTTTTCTTTCATTCTTTCTCCTCTGCTGCTTTTCGCACTCTCCCCATCCTGCTGTGTCGACCTGCTCTCATTTCTGTGCTTTCTGTCTTCCATCCCAACACACCCGTGGGTTGCTGTCTTCTTTTCTTCTCTTCCTCTCTTGCTGTGGGACCGCACGTCTCCCGCAGGACCTGTGGGCTCTGGCAGAGAACTCTCGCTGGGGTACTGCTCCCTCCAGTGGAAAAATGCTCCAACAGTGCCATGCTTGAGATTTACGCCGTAGAGTTCCGCTCTTTGCTGCATGGAGGAGAGCAACAGAAATCAATCTCCTCCGCTCTGGGGTCCCAGGGCACAGCTGGGGAGGGAACGAGGGACAAAACCAGGAGGGGGCTCTGAGTTCCTTGGATTTTATTCCCCCTCATCCATACCTTACCTTTGGGTAAGGGCCTGAGCAAAGCCCTTTACTTTCTGCTTCTTTCTCCCATAGCTCCCTCTCCTTCAGGCCTCCTGGACTCAGTACCACAGTTGTCCCATTCTGGGGGTCTGTAGGGAGCCAGCAGGAGCTGTGGCCGTCCCACTGACCCTGTCCTTATTGCACAGGTCAGGAGGACCAGGTAGATGAGGAGGAACAGGAGACAGAGGAAACCACGGCAGAAGGTGTGTGGTTTGTGTCCCCACGCTGTCACACCTGCAGGCACGATGCAGAGTGTAAGGGACGTGTGGTGGGACACCTGTGGATGCTCTGGTCACACTTTCCCTCTTACTTTTGAGACAGAACAAGAAGATGAAACGAAAGCACCAGGAGAAGGTAAAGCAGGAGCGGAGGAAGGACGCTTCTTGGCCATTTCAATCTCCCACAATGCTGCCTCCTTGCCACGGGGTTTTCAATGCCAAATTTTGAATTCAGCCGCTGCTGAAAGGAGACAATCTGCAGTAAATTGGGCAGAGCTGCCCTGGCCCCATCCCTAGTAGGGGAGGGGTGCAGGAGATCTGCAGGTGGGATGTATTCATGCTGCTTAGGTAAGAAATTCACCCCAGGAAATGGAACAAGAAGGTCCCTTCCCAGCCTGAGCTCCTGCAGAGCTCATCTTTGGAGAGGACCCAGGTTTTTCTCCCCATCTGCTTGGGGCTGAGGAACCTGCCCTCCCCACGTCCATCCTGGGCTTTGTGGTGGGGACAAACACAGTGCTGGGGCAGCCTGACGGCCCCTCCAGGGCCAACGCATCCCATGTTCCACAGGTGGTGAGGGGGACCGGGAGCAGGAGCCCGGGGAAGGTGAGGCATCCATCCCTGTTCCCCTTTGGGGTAGGAGGCACTGTCCCTTCACAGTACACACCCTGAATGCCTGGAGCATCAATGCACGTCTCAGATGTTGACACAGATGGACACTTCACTGTGTTGCTTTGGCGGAGGATGATGTGCCTGCACTGCTGAGAGGAAGGGGTGGTTGGGTTTCGTGGGGTTTGAGGTCAAAGTATGCCACTAACAGTGCCTTTCTCTCCTGTTCCTGGGGACCCACAGGTGAATCAAAGCCCAAACCCAAGTAAGTGTTGGTGCATTTTCTTTGGTGCAAGGTTTGAACTAGGAGCTGTTCCTCTATGGCTCTCACTGCGGCTTAGTGCCACAGTGAGATCCATAAGGAACGTGGGACAGCAAAGCCCTAAAAGCATGAAAACAGGGCAGGGACTGCGACATGGAGAGAAGGGAGAAAAACAGAGAGAGAAACATGGGACTCTTCCCTGCCCTCCACAAGCACTCATTGCTGGGGGCCATGGGGCTCAGGGAGGAGGGCTGGGCAGAGCAGTGCACGGGTGGGAGCCCTGCCCCATCCCAGCCACCCACTGCCAGCTCCCAACCTCCCACTCACCTTTCAGGCCCTTCATGCCCAACCTGGTGCCTCCCAAAATCCCTGATGGTGAGCGCCTGGATTTCGATGTGAGTGCATCTAAGAGCAGCACTGTGGTGTTGCTGCGTCCAGCAGCTCCCAGAGGGCTTCACCACTGTGAGCACAGCCATCACCTTCATTTCTGTCTGGTGCAGGACATCCACCGCAAGCGCATGGAGAAGGACCTGAATGAGCTGCAGGCCCTCATTGAAGCCCACTTTGAGAGCAGGAAGAAGGAGGAAGAAGAGCTCATCTCCCTCAAAGACAGGATCGTACGTGGGCAACCCATCCCCTTCATGGGCAAACAGCACAGGCATTCTCTGCAACAGCAAGACCCAAGACGTCCCGTGTCCCTGCCAGAGAATGATTGGGATTTGAGCCAAATTTGGTGCCCGGGGTTGGGAATCTGCTGTAATACCCCTCCCATATGGAGATGTGGGAGCAGCAGACCTGTCCCTGGGGCTCTTGGGATATTAGGGATGCCGAGGGACAAAAGGAATTTTCTGGGACACCCCAGCCATGGTTCTCTCCTTCTGCAGGAGCAGCGGAGGGCAGAGAGGGCAGAGCAGCAGCGCATCCGCAGTGAGAGGGAGAAGGAACGCCAGGCCCGCATGGCTGTGAGCGTCATCAGGGCTGGGGGGTCCCTGCAGCACACGGCCCACCTCCCCCCCACAAGCCCATCTGTGGGGCACGCAGGAGCACGAGCTGTGCACGTTGGTCCACAAGGCCTCCACTCCTGACCCACTTCTATCCCTGGCAGGAGGAGAGAGCTCGCAAGGAGGAAGAGGAGGCACGGAAGAAGGCTGAGGAAGAAGCTCGGAAAAAGAAAGCTTTCTCCAACATGCTGCACTTCGGAGGCTACATGCAGAAGGTGTGAAGCTGCACCTGGGGTTGCAGCAAAGCTGCTGGTGCTTCTGGAGTCGGGGGGGACTGGGCCACAAGCTGGTCCCACAGCATCTTGTGCTGCAGAGAGGGGTTCCTATAAGCAGAAGAGGACGGGAACGTACTGAGAGCATCCCAAAAGCAGAGGGCGCTGCTGGGAGGAAGGGCTGGGGATGAGAGCAGAGGCCAGGCGGGTTCCTTCTCTCTGACGGGCTCCAACGGTTTCCGCAGTCAGAGAAAAAAGGTGGCAAGAAGCAAACGGAGCGGGAGAAGAAGAAAAAGATCCTCAGCGAGCGGCGGAAGCCTCTGAACATCGACCACCTCAGCGAAGACAAGCTGAGGTAGGGATGCTGCAGGAGGGGTGAACGGGGCTGTGCCACCGCCATGGCTGCGCCAGGCTGCGGGTGACAGCGGCGGCCATCAGAGGGAGCCACGCTCACACACATGGGACACCCGTGTCCCCCCAGCCAGACACAGACGTGGGGCTGCCTGGCACGGCCCCACTGGGCATGGAGCCTGCAACACCCATGGGACGGATCCTACCGCAGAGGGGGTGGCATTGCGGCCCCATCTCTTTGCTGCTGCATCCCTTTTCCATACTGACATCATCCATCTCTTCCCATAGGGACAAAGCCAAGGAGCTGTGGCAAACCATCCGTGACCTGGAGGCTGAGAAATTCGACTTGCAGGAGAAGTTCAAGCGGCAGAAGTACGAGGTGAGCTGCCAGCTCCTCTCTGCTGGCTCTCCCTGGCTGGATCTCCAGCTCTTGATATGGGAGAGTCGCGTGTTGGATGCACGCTGTGCTGCATCAGGAGAGACCCGTGCCCAGCTTGGCATGGGGCATCCCACCAAGCCTCACCACCCGCCTGCATTTCTCCTGCAGATCAATGTCCTCCGAAATCGCGTCAGTGACCACCAGAAGGTGTAAGTACCCAGCCTGGCCGAGTGCCCTTCCTCATCACTCAGTTTCACCCCATGTTTCTCCCAGCTGCCCCACGCCTCATCCTTACACACCTGCAGGGACCTCAGACTGTGCCACTGTGCTCCCACTGAGAAGCCCTCACCGGCCCCCAGCTCCCCCCTGCCCCCAAACAGACCCACGTAGAGCCCCGTGTGTCCTGCAGGCCACACATACCTCCAGCTGCCCCATCCCTTCTGTATCCCTACCCACCACCTCAGGGAAGGACCCCCCCCAAGCTTGTATGGGAGTGGAGATCCCATGGGCTGTGGGAGCTGTGCAGTCCCACAAAAACTTGGGAGCTGGTCCACACATCCCTTGCACAACACTGGGGGACCTAGGGTGGAGGTGAGCATTTAACCTGTTCTCCCAGGAGCACTGTGTTGCTCTCTTTCCCCTGTCTCATCCTGCATGAGCTGTTCCTAGCCTTCCCGTCAGTCAGTTAGCAGCATTTCCCCCACTTACACCAAATCTCTCTTCTCTTCTGCCCTCCCGTGGCCTGGTGCTGCAGCAAAGGGTAAGTGCAGGCTGCATGCCTCCCATCACACCTGTGCTGCATGGACACCTGGGGCTGACCTTGCACCAGAAGTAGGGCTGAGGGAAGGACTGTTCTGGGAAATGATATCAGAGTTGGGTTGGTGACTTTCAGGATGCCCAAAATGCCCATTGCTGACTGTCCAAGTCACCACCACCATCACCTCCTCCTCCACCTCCCTGCTAGCACATGCCCAGAGCACCTGTTCCCCCAGTTCTGGATAAGCAGCTCAGTACAGCCAGTCCCAGCTTCTCAGCCCCAGAAGAGGGATCCCACAACAATCACAAAACCCCTACAGCTGGAGGTCCTTTATTTATGCTCACTGGGAGGGAGGAGCATAATGAGGCCATGGGGGCTGGTTGGAAACACCTGGTAGAACATGAGCTTGTTCCTGAAGAGTCCCAAACCCGCTGGCTGGCTCAGCCCCCACATTAGGGAAGGTGCTACTGAAGATTTGCCTTGCAAGCATCAACCAGCAATAACTTGGTTCTCTTTTGAGGGTGCTCTAGCAGTATCCATCTCTCTCCTCTTTTCATTTCCATTAACACATTTTGCCCGCTCTGCTTCCCATCTAGGTCAAAGGGTGCCCGTGGGAAGACCATGGTGGGTGGCCGGTGGAAGTAGATGGCTCTGAAGGCAGAGGTGAGGCTCAGCCATCAGACGCAGTGCTGTGCGCTCAGCCCGTGCCAGGGCTCCGCTGCTGCCCCATCGTTTGGTGCTCGTGCAGTGCTTGCTGCAGGCTCCGTGCTGCTGGGGTGGGCAGGTGCTCAGCGAGATGCTTGCTGATTCTCATTTCCACACCCCCACGTGATGTTGTGTCTGTAAATAAAGAGAGGAGTGAGGGGGTGTGGGTTTTGTGTCCGCTGAGAACCAGGAGGAAGCGCACGGCAGATTGTCCCAGCAGCGCTCAGCTGAGCCCACTGTCAGAGCACGAGGGGATGCAGCTCCACCCGGAGCCTTCTGAAATGTGTGCTCTCCCCAGGAGCTCCTGGTGGCATGTAGGCCAGCAGAAGACCCCTCACAAGCTGGGGCAAGCTGTCCCCTGCTGTCACTCAGCAGCACCTGAGCCGTGAGGCTTCTCCAAGAGCGATGAGGAGGGATGCACGGGATGGCGGATCTTCACAGGCTTCATGTCCCTCAACATGCCTCAGAGGGCAGCCGAGCAAAGACCCAACCAGTGCCATTTCCGACCTGCCTCGATGTGTGTCCCTTCAGTGAGAGCATCACCCCGAGCTCCAAGCCATCGATCCTCCAAACCCTCGTGCAGAGGCAGGGCCGTGCCCGGTGCTGCACAGAGGCGCTGCCTCTCTGCCCGTCCCTGTGGGCGGCAGCGCCCAGGCTTTGGGCACGGCACGGCGGCACTCCCTGTTTGCCACAGCACAGCCTGTCCCAGCAGCACTCTGGTCCCTTGCCAGCCTGGCTCCCTGCGCCGGGGCCGAAACCGGCGCCCTCCTCCCTGCGCGGCACCTCCCTGCACCCTGAGTCAGCACCCGGCCCTTTGCCATCTCCCACCCGTGTCCCACCACCTGCGGGCACGGTGGAGCGTGGTGCGGGATGCTGGTGTCCCCTGAGGCGCAGCGAAACGACCCGGGGGTTGTTTTCTTTGGGGTTTTGTGTGTTGCACGGGCTGTGCGATGGTTGCATGGGCGCAGCGTGTTGTGCCAAGGCGTTGTGTGTCGGTGAGTGATGTCTGGGCATGCTGTCACCATCCTGCCGTGCACAAGGTGTGTTTTGCAAGCGGATGAGTCTTGGCTTTGTGCTGCTGTAGGATGGGAGCGAGGGAACCTCGAGAGCAGACATTGGAGGGGTGTGCAGAGAACTTGGTGCTGTGTTGCTGGCACTCCGCAGTGCGCTGATGTCCTGCAGTACTGCTGTGTGGTCCCAGTGCCTGCATGGGAAGTGGGACTTCTGGATGTGAAGTCAAAGCATGAACATCCTCTGCAGCGCAGAACGAGGGGCAGAGAGCTTTGTCCTTCCCCAGTCACTTGCTGCAGGAAAGGCACTGAAGCTCTGGAGCGTGCCCCAGTGGGGGGTCTGGAACACTATGGGGTCTTGTGGGGAGAGGGAACTGGGGTGGTTCATTCTAGAGGAGGCTCCAAATTGGAGTTTTGCAAGTTGTGCAAATATCTGACATTTCCAAGTTTCTTATGGCTGCTTTTAAACGCCCTATAAAACCTCAAGTTTCAATTAACATCTCAGCACTGTAAAGCGCTGCCCGTACAGCTAATTCATGGGTATCAGTTAATTGTTTTAGCTGGATAAACTCACCCATGGCTTATGCTGATCCCACAGATGTGTTAAATCATCGATGAGGACTTTAATGCACCTTAAGCACAGTTTAGCATCTACGCAATGACCCATGTCTGTGAGACTTTGCCCTGCTGACAAAGCAAGCAACCATGATCTGTGATGGAAAGGAAGAAGCTTTGGCTGTTGCGTGGAAGCAGCTTTTTATTGGTGCTTAGTGGAAGTAAAATAAGCTTCCTAGTGATATCTGAATCACTGCTTTTGCATGTGCTCTCATGCCCAGCTTTCAGCTGAAGTCCTGGGTGTAAACCATGCTCTTCTTTGGTGCAGGCAGCAACCACTGGCAGGAACACTGAGATCTGAGACCCAGCGGGGGCCCAGCATTGGATCCATAAGCTGGCAATGGAAGTGCTGCACTGCTTGCCCTGATCTGGAGCTCTGAGCTCTGTTTTTCACCCTGTCAGAGCTCAGTGCTCTCTGCACATGACATTGGTGGATGCTCCCCGAGCATCACAAATCGATGACGTTGCCCTACAGGTGGTGCTCTGCTGGTTTTGGAAGCGCTGCGAGCCCTTTATCTGCACACGTAAATAAATAGAGTTGTGCCTTTGCAGAGCCATAAATCAAACCTTGATATCATGACAAAGACAGAACGCTTTGATCCAGGGCAGCACTTTGATCTCCTGTGATGAACCAGATGTTGGTGATTATCTGTTGAAATAGAGCAGTAATTGTCACTTTTCAGGCAGTGTTGCTGCAATGTCAGCCCGTTGGCTGTGGGCCATGGCACACCTCAAAATAAAGCAGGCAGAACATGGATATCAATTACATTTTGCAGTTCTCAAATTCTGCCAGTTACCTTGGAACAACATATTTTGGCAAGAGAACATTTAGCTTTGAGATGTTTTCCACCCAGGACATTGCAAAGAATTACAAACAAAATGATGCTGGCAGAGAAGGAGAATTTTTGGGTGCTGGGTGAGATGCCCATGGGCCATGCTGGGAGGACAAGGACTGATTGGCTGCATCAAGGGCTCCTGTCCATCAGGGTTGGTGCAACAGTGTGAAGGAGATCTCAGCATCACCTCAGTATAGTATCATAGACCCATAAAACGGTGGGGTTGAGAGGGACCTTAAAGACAATAAGTACCACGGGACCATAGAATGGTTGGGTTGGAAGGGTCCTTAAAGATCATAAAACCATACAACCATCATCACTGCAAAGGAAGAGTGACCAAGGGACTTTGGGAATTGCTGGCATTTCTTTGCAGCCGTGGAGGAGCCCCAGTTGCAGCCCCTTGGGCTGTGGCAGCTCCTTGCACACAAACTGATAAACCCAGAAAGAAGCATTTCTCTTTTGGAAAATGGAAAGATGATGCAAAACTCCCAAGTGCCTCTGTCCATGAAGCAGGTGAGGAGCAAGGGGAGCCGCTGCTGTCTGCTATGAGTCCCATCTGTGCATGCAGCACAAACCCAAGATGTTTCATGTAGACGTGGGCTCTCGTGGGTGCAAAGCTTCTCCATTGATCGTTTTTTGCTGTGTGCTGAGACAGAAGTTTTGTAAATCTGTCCCGGTGCTCAGCTTGGATATCAGGAAAAAAATCCCCTCTCAGGAGAAGTGGTGATGCGTTGGCACAGCTGCACGGGGAGGTGGTGCAGTCACTGACCCTGGAGAGGTTCAGAACTGCAGAGAAGTGGCACTGAGGGACGTGGTTGGTGGGCACGGTGGGACGGGCTGGGGTTGGGTTTGAGGATTTCAGAGCTCTTTTCCAACCTTAAGGATTCGATGATTCGATGGAAAGCACGTGGCCGCCTGCCCCAGGGACACGAGGGTGACAGCTGCACCAAGAGCTCACTTGAAGGCACCTGGATCCAGTGGTGAATTTAGCAGTTTTGAAGCAGGATTTGTAATGCCTCAGACAGAACTGGGTTTAATTTTGTCCTCCCTTTTGAGGTTCTGCCCCAGAGGCAGACCAGGGATACTTCCTGGTAGAGATTTATGGAGCATGCAGGAGTTTCCAAGCCAAAATTCTTGGCCTGAAATGTCTACGTTATTGCTGTAGGGCTGGGTCTCTGAGTTCACTTACCCACAGAAGAAAAAAAACGATGTCCTCATCTCTGTTTTGCTTAATGTGTCCCACATTCCCCAAAAGCCAGCGACCTGCAGAAGACACATTCTTGTGGGAGTTTAATGATTTGCCAAAAGCAAGGAATACAAAAGTTGGGACTGAATGCTGCTCTGGTGCCACTCGATTGCAACCAAGCCCACATCTCCATTAAGAGACCCCGGCATGGGTTGTTGTTCCCAAATAATTGGTCTCGAGACAGCAGAAAAAAGGCAGTTTGGCCAACAGTGCCAAGCAGGATGCGCCCTTGTTTGGTGGATGTGCAGAGGGACTGTTAGCTCAGCACTTTTAGTGCACAGCGGCTGCACACACACACAGATGAGGAGGAGGAAGCCACACGGTTGGTTTTGGGGCATTCCTGCGAGGTGTTGCTCTTTTGATGTCAGTGGGGCTTCTCCGGGCTGGGTCCATTCGCAGCACTCACAGCCCTGGAATGTGGCTGGGGATTGGTGTGACCAGTCGGGCCAGTCAACAGATCTTCCTCCAAAATGAATTTTTACTGAAATCTGCAAAGACCTGTTGCAAGTGGGTTGACTCACATGGCTTCTCAGCTCTTAGTCATGAGCTTCTTCTCTGGACAGTTAATTAGTTTGTTCTCATGGAGCGCTTTGAAGATGCAAGGCAGGCTGGGAAAGTGAAGTGTTATTAGCTCATTATCTGCAATCTTTTGTGTGTGTGTGTGTGTGTGACAAAGCAATAAAGTCCGGGTTCAGCCTAAGATGCTTAACAGCACTAAAAAACGAACCATCCACCCAGTTCTGTCCTTATTTCAGTGCAGCTCTTTGCTAACGACACCTCATGGTGCTCATGAATCTCCTTAACCCCAGCCAGGCAGAACAGAGTGGCTTAGCATCAGTACACAGAGTGATGCTACTCCTGGCAGAAGACCCAAAAGCTTGGAATCTGGACCACAGATTTCAATCTACTTCCTATTGGGTTCCATTTGGATGTAGAAGGGGTAAAAGAGCCCAGTGTTGTTTTCTATTCTTTTTTTTTATACCCTAATGTGGGTGTGCTAGGGGTCAAGTTCAGCACCTGAGATCTTGGCATCTCACAGAGCAGCGTGAAGTTAAACAGCCCAGAAGGCAATGTGTGAGATGAATTAGCGTCTGCCTGCACAGAGCAGCTCGTATGCACTGCATTATGTTCAAAGATAAGTGGTAATACTGAAAGTGTTGTTTCTGTGTCTGCAAAGGGCACGCTGGCCAGACAGCTGCCTTGCGCTGTGGAGTGCAATGGACACAACACTGTTTGTGGGCCTGGTCACTAATGGTGTATCTGGCAATTCGGAGATCTTGCCAGAGGCATTTCAAACTCTGGCGTGTGCAGTGATGGTTGCAAAGATCTGTGCTTTCCTGTTTGGGTGCCTGAACTCTTTTGGCCCAGCATTCCCATTGCAATGGCCTCATGTGCAGATTCAGTGGCTTGTTGGATTCAAGACTATCACTGAATGAAAATACCCTTTGCAAAAGTCTGCGGATTCATGGTATCCCTGTTGTTTTGGGCATAAGGTTCCTCATTCAGGTTGGATATTCTGAAAAATTTTTTCTCAGAAAGGGTGGTGAAGCATTGGAATGGGCTTCCCAGGGCAATGGTAGCGACATCATCCCCAGAGGGGTTCCAGAGCTGTGGAGAGGTGGCACTGAGAGTTGGTGGGCATGGTGGGACGGGTTGGGTTTGAATGTGTTTACCTCGGTGGCCTTTTCCAGCAGCAATGATTCGATGGTCCTATGATTTCCATTGACTCTGTGGGTTACCAGCACTGGCTATGTGACTTCCAGTTCTCATTTCCTGTCTGGGTCAGAGCAGCACCAGGAGAATCCAGGCTGGAGAGTCTGCAGCTTTGACAGCCACCAGCTTCTTTGCATTGCTTTACTTCCGACCAGAGACAGCGAAAGCAGCCGCAAATTGCTAAGGAAATCCAGTTAGAAGCCTTTCCATCCAGGGATGAGCAAAACAAACAAAGCCCTGAGCATGAGTCAAAGAGCCCAGCTATTTGCAGTGAAGTCCTCTTAATCCTAGCAATAACAATGCATTACCCTCTGGCATTTGGGTGTTGCTGAGCATGTCAAGTTTTCTCTGTGGGCTTTTTTGTGGAAAAAGGGGAAAGTGAATGCCCTACATAGCTCAGTGACTCCAGGAGATGGGACTTTATGAGAAGGAGGAATGGTGAAGTGGGGGTGGCAAGACAAGGGCTGGGAGCATGCCCATGGTGTGCGACTGCAGAGCTTTGCCACCTGGATGCTGATCTGCTGCTTGTTTCACTCTCATGTCAGAAAGACCCAGGAGATGTGCAGCATCCCATCCTGGCAGCGTAGCGCTAGCTCAGCATGCTAGGAATGAAGGCTGGCCCTTTGCAATACAGTACTCATATGTTTTTGTCCATATGTGCTCATGAAAGATAAAGGATGATGTCTGGGCCACCTAGCTACGTCTGAGCATCACTTATCTTCACCTGGGCCCCTTTAATTGACAGTGGAAATAGAAAATTATTAATTAGCCCCTCCTTCCGTCTCTGTCTTACAATGCATAAACCATGTGGTTTCTCCACTGGCTCTGTGGGGATCCCACAGTGCCTCCGTGTCTAATTTTAAGCTGCCCAGGTGAGGGTGGATTGATCCGAAGAGATTTCTTCTAACAAGGAATGAGCAATAAAGGCCAGGGCGGTAGGGAAATTTTTCAGATGTGGTTGTTTACCTCAGCCAATGGAGACTTTGTGTTTGGCTGCTTAAAAAAATAATGCAAGCAAGCTGTCCTTCAAGCCCTGCAAAGCTGTGGGCAAACAATAGCTGCCATTGCTAGAGGGGAGGAGATGGTGGGTCTGCACTGCTGGCAGCGGGGCATGGGGCAGCCTTGCAGACCCACAAGCATTGGGAAGCTTGTACTGAATAAATTATGCTGGGGGATCCCTCAAGAAGACTTAAAGAAAATGGGGTGTTTTGAACATGAAAACACCTGTGTGCTCTGAAACCACTCATCCTTTTTGAAATGTCAGTGTCTAGCTAAAACATCTCAGACTTGTGCCTTGGAATAAGGATAACCCCTGGCTTCCCTGGTCCAGGCAGAGGACGCTCTTGGTCCTGGGCACTTAGGAAAGGAGCAGCCCTGGGGCATTACGGTTGACCATGAGCCTGCAGTGTGCTCTGGTGGCCAAGAAGGCCAGTGGTACCCTGGGGTGCATCACAAAGAGTGTGGCCAGCAGGGAGGTGGGGGGCCTGGAGCATCTCCCTTATGGGCAAAGGCTGAGAGCCCCGGGGCTGTTCAGCCTGGGACACAGAAGGCTGAGAGGGGAAATTCCACAAGGAAAAAATACTGTGAAAAACTCAATTGGTTCTCATGATCCCAGCAGCTGCTGTGCAGGCTAATTCAGTGCACAGCTTTACCCCTTTTCTACCTGCAGCTCCACGGGCTGCAGCGCTGTCTCCGACTTTCCTGGGGTGCTGTAAGCTCTGCTCCTCCTGCCCTGGGCGAGGTGGGGCTCTGAATTGCTGTGTGCCGTTGGTTTTCTCACGGTTCCTGAGCCCTGCAGGGACGCTGCTGCTTCACCCAGGTTCCTGGGGCAGGAAAGAGGTGGGTGTGGGTTTTGCTCTGTGCACCAGTCACTGTTTGGATAGCATAAACACTTACCTGTGTTCTCGCCTCCCTCTTTAACCCTTAGCTTCTCACAGGAAATAATTTTGATGCTGTTTCTGGATTGTGCTT